CGTGGCAAACTGTGTTTGAGTGTGTTATACTGTGTCGGTTTGTGTCTCCTAAAAGGAAAGCAGCCTATATATACACTGGAATGGGGGCATCTCCGCTGTGAAGCATAGAAAATCGTGGCCGCAATTGATCAGCCGCCATTTTGGTCAAATATTTGAGCGAATCAGAAGCTTTCAGGTGCTCATTTGCACTTACGTTTAGTGTTCTTTAGTAAGACGCATATGGCATATGAGACGGTGATCATCTACCGACATGATCGGACGTGTTATTGCATTATTTTTGGAAAGTGTGACCGGCTTCAAATGCACAATTGAGTTTATGTTACTCTTTTAGACTTTCGTATTCTGCATATTCTCATGCGAAGAAGTAAAACGCATATGTCAGCAAGATTAATGTGTATGAAATTATATTTGAAGGATTATAAAATAGCGTGAGTGCTACAAAGCATCAACATGAAGTGCTGTGTGCCTGGGTGTAGGTAGAGAAGTAAACAGGGCCTTTCATTTCATAGGTAAAAATTTTTGTATTAAATATATCAATTCCTGCATATGTGTTAACGATGTAGGATATGAAGTGTTATTAAAGTTATTTTATTGAATGTACTAATAAAATTGAAGTGAGATATTATTTTTATTTATATACCATTCATGTCCATATAGATTTCCATACATCGATAGTACATTGATCGATACATCGATCGCAATGCACGCGCAAATGCTTCTGACTCGCTCAAATATTTGACCCACCCAAATGGCGGCTGCTCAATTGCGGCCACGAAATTTTCCTTGATGCCCATTCTAGTGTATATATAGTTCAGTGGTGCGGAGAAGTATATTCGTAGGTTGTGCACGATTAACTTTCTAGTCCGATTGTAACTGGAGAAATACCTTAAACTGTATAATCTAAACAGTAAAATCTTTCAGATTTAGAAATAACTGAGCTACTTTTTTTTATTCTGGAATCTTTAATTACTTGATCATTCATATTCTAATGACATATATATAGAAAAAAATGTTACACATTCTACTTTTTGTTTACTTTCTCATGCTATATATGATTGTATAATTATATGCAAACAAATATAGTAAAGCAGTAAAATAATATAGTTTACAGAAGAAATAGTAATTATTTGAAAATAAGGGAGGTTCATAATAGAAATGACAAAATTCAAAAGCTGTATTGTACATTTAACTTGTTATTATATTGAAATTATGCATTTCGCGGGTTATCTCCAAATTCTTGGAATGCCAACGTTTCATGAACATTGCAGTTAATTTCATCAGGATAAGGAGCAGCTTGATACTGAGCAGATCCAGAATTATTGAGCTGTTCCTCTGGGTGATACCCTTTATCCTGTTTTTTTATAATTCAAGAGAGATGAAGGAAGGAAAGTGGGAGTATGGGCTAAAGGAGGGAGTGGGGAATCGATCAATCTTTGATGACCAGGAGAATGGTATTCCATATTTTACTTATGTTGTAGCCATTATCCCTTTTTAGATTATTAGGATATTTTTGTATCTCTATAGCCTCTATATTTCCTTGGAAAAAATGATCAATCTACAGATAAAAGAACACCAACGTGACATCAAATTAAAACACGTCACTATTACCTAGATAGGGTGTTTTCCATTTGATGACACAAATCGGGAGGGCTCCGATTGCACACATCGCATATTGCACACATGTATCGCTGATTGGCTAATTTAAAAATAAAATCTCATTGGCAAAACAGTGAAAAATTACTAGGCACCAGTTGATATGAGTGGTGTGTACAATCAGAACTGTAGGCAAACGGGATCCTCC